TTCTTAATGCTGATTTCCCCAAAATTTCTTAACTATTCCATCCTATTTTTTCCATCCTGTGAAATTTAGAATCAGTCGGTGAAGTTTCAAAATCTCATCTGTAATTTGATTGAAATTGCCTTAAATCTTTATATTAACTTGAGAAGAATTGATAATCAGAATATTTAGCCTCTCCAATTGGGACCTTGGTACATTTTTCTGTTTTTTAGACTTTCTGGAGTTTTGTCTTTTTTCCATATGTATATTTTTTGCTAGAATTATGTCAGAGGTTTTGTTGTTTTTTTTTTTAAGCATTTGAAAATTGCTGTTTGTGAATGAGAGCATGGAAATTTTTTTCCATATTTCTCTTTGTTTGAATTGCTGGGATAGAATTAAGCAATTTTCTATTCTTAATTCTGGTGTATTCCAGCCACCTTCTGGAGCAACTTCTCATTAATTCTATGCTAGTTTAGCTCATTCTTTTGAGTAGTCCAGGAGCAAATAACTGTCATTTTGCTTTAGAGCTATTCTTCTCTGTTGTCTGTGTTAAGTTCGGGTTTTTGTCATGGAGCTCCTTGTGGGCACGTGCCCACTACACCTTGCCTCCCACAAAGTGCCAAGCCCTCAGTTGGTTCGCAGTGAGTGTTCCTTGAGTGAGAGTGAAGGAATCCTAGGCCAAGGAACTCGGTCCTGGTCCCGGGTGGCAGCCCCTTGATGGGTCACTCCAATTTATGGTCTGCACCTCAGTTTTATCAGAAGGCTGGGGCTCTGATGCAGGCCAACCACCTCACAGAGATGCTGCCCATTGTCTGCTTCCAGCCAGTGGGGGAGCAGTGGCCACTTTCCCTAGGGAGACCCCATTTAGGGCAGAAAGGGCTTAGGAATAGGGCCCAGCAGAGACTGTGGTCAACCCAAAAGGTCTTGCTCTCCCTCCAGCCAGACTACCCTAGTGTACCCCTCCCAGGCTTGGAACACTCTTTCTAAGGAAGGGAGGCTAACTTCAGACTCAGCCCCTCCCATGGGTCCAAAGCAGGGAAAGTGACAGGAGGTTTTATTTGGTTCTCCCTTTATTTGTACATGCTATATAGTTCCCCACATTTATTAGTATTCTGTTCTTTCATTTAGAAAATAGGTAATACATTCACAAGCTTCAAAACATGAAAGCAATCAAAAGATTTCATTAAAACAAAAAAATATTTTAATGTCATCTCTACCCCCAATATGGGCTCAAACTCACAATCCTGAGATCAAGAGTCACACGCTCAACTGGCCAAGCCAGCCAGGCACCCCAAACATGAAAGCAATTTAAAAGGCTTACAGTGAAATGTCTCACTCCACCTCTGCCCTGCCCCATCCATACCACTTTTATTAACTTGTGTGTCCTTCTAAGATGTTTTTATTCAAATACAATGAAATGTGAATATATTTTTACTTTTCTTCATTCTTACACAATAGGTGGCATCCTATTGATTTTATTTATTTATTTTTTAAAAATTATTTATTTATTTATTTGAGAGAGAGAGAGAGAGAGAGAGCATGAACGGGGGGAGGGGCAGAGAGAGAGAGGGAGAAGCAGGCTTCCCGCTGAGCAGGGAGCCCAATTTGGGCCTTGATCCCAGGACCCTGAAATCATGACCTGAGCCAAAGGCAGACTTAACCGAATGAGCCACCCAGGTGCCCCAATTTGTTTTATTTAAAATATACATTATAATAATACAAATATTGAACACTCATTATATGCTAGTCACTAGTCTAACCTTTTATATATATTAACTCATTTAATATTTTTATTGCTCCTATTATTATCCTCATTTTGCCATGGAGTTTTTCCATTTAAAGAGCTTCCTCGATTTCTTACAGCTGCATAGCACTCCACTGTATGGAGTACATCCTAATTTATGAAACTCATTGCCTAGCCTTGTGTCTCTTCTTTGCTCTTATATACTGTGTTGCATTGTACAGATGTTATTTTGTGAGTTAGAGATAGAGCTGCAGAATAGCTCCGTAGAAGAGGGATTGCTGGGTCAGAGGATAAATGCATTTGTGCTTTTGACGGATGTTGCCAAGCTGCCCTCTGCAGAGTTATTGGTTCTTTTCATATTATGTAGGACTTCTCTCATTTGATCCTCTATAGCACTCCCATATGAATTGGGGATTATACCTCTTATACAGATAAGAAAACTGAGGTGCAAAGAGGTTAAGTGACTTGCCAAGGGCACAGAGCCAAGGTCAGATCCACGTTTGCCCGGCTCTTTTCTCTGCTTCAGCTGCCACTTACCTCAGTCCCAGGCCCTGCCTCGTGGTGATGGGTCTCTTGTCACTTACATCAGATTTCCCCAGGCTGGAGGAGCTGAATGCTTTTGACCCAGTGGCAGCCTCCATGCTTCCCCTCACACTCTAGACTCTCCAGGAAACCTCTCCTGGCCTGAAATAAGTCTCCTTTGTTTGATCAAGAGGTTCAAGCTCTGAGGCCTTGCCTTCTTGGGTGATTTGGGGAGGCTGAGAGCCGGCAAAGCTGAGGACTGGTGCCTGATGCCACAGTTTTGGAGTCAGGTTGCCTGGCAGGGTCTCCACTGGCTGTTCCAGGACAAGCTGATCTCAGTAACTGAGGCCAAAGGGGCTCCAGCTAAGATCCTTTCTCCTGGCCTCAGGTGGGCTATCGCTGCTAATGAGAATAAATCACGGCAAACTTTCTGGGGAAGTGACTAACAGTCTTTTCCTGGGAGCGTTTAAAGAGGGGGCATTGCAGTGTTTCAGACCAAGGACTTGAGCCAGACTGCCTGGGGTTTTCTATTAGTTTCCTATTGCTGCTGTAACGAATTACCACAAATGTAGGAGCTTAACCCTTTACAAATGTATTATTACATACCTCTGGAGGTCAGAAGTCTGAAATGGGTCTCACAGAGATAAAATCGAGGTGTCAGTAGGGCCGCATTCTTTCTGGAGGCTCTTGAGGAGAATCTGTTTTCTTGCCTTTTTCAGCTTCTAGATGCTGCCTGCACTCCTTGGCTCATGGCCCCCTTCCATCTTCAAAGCCAGCAGGATAGCATTACGGGACCTCTGCTTCCATGATCACATCTTCCTGCTCACACCTGCCTGCCTCCCTCTCTTTCCTTATAAGGACCCCACCCAGATAATCCAGGATAATCTTCCCGTCCCGGATCCTTAACTTAATCACATGTGCTAAGTCCTTATCATCATATAACGTAACATACTCAGGTTCTGGAAACTAGTACATTATTCTGCCTACTGTAGTTTGCCTCTGGACTCTATCACTTACTAATTTTGTGACCTTGGACAAGTTACTATACCTCTTGTTCAGTGTCCTCGTCCTTAAAATGGGGATATAATAGGGCGCCTGGGTGGCTCAGTTGGTTAAGCGGCTGCCTTCGGCTCAGGTCATGATCCTGGAGTCCCGGGATCGAGTCCCACATCAGGCTTCCTGCTCAGCAGGGAGTCTGCTTCTCCCTCTGACCCTCTTCCCTCTCGTGCTTTCTATCTCTCATTATCTCTCTGAAATAAATAAATAAATAAAAATCTTTAAAAAAAAATGGGGATATAATAATTCCTACTCTGTTGGAGAGTTAGGAGGATTAAAAGGGTTGATATTTCTCAAATGCTTATAATAGTGTCTGACACGTAGAAAATGCTATGGAAGTGTCTGCTAGCTAAAATATATTAAATAAATAAAAATATGCACACTCTTTAACATTCCTATTATTTGTAACCTATTTCATAGAAACAGAAGCATCCATGTGTTAAGCCACATAAAGCATTGTCCATATTGGCAAAAAGAAAAGAAAATGTACAAATAGGAAATCACTGGGGTGCCTGGGTGGCTCAGTCGGTTAAGTGTCTGCCTTGGCCTCAGGTCATGATTCCCTGGAGTCCTGGGATCGAGCCCCACATCGGCCTCCCTGCTCAGCAGGGAGTGTGCTTCTCCCTCTGCCTCTCACCCCGCTCGTGCTTGCTCACTCTCTCTCAAATAAATAAATAAAATCTTTAAAAATAAAAAACAAATAGGAAATCACTGGAGTGTCCATTAACAGGAGAATGACTGGATCCGTTGTGGTACATATGAAATTTAAAGGAGCTATTAAAGAGAATACATTAGATCTATACTTATTAGACTTCCAGGAATGTCCTGAACAAAAGTTAAATTGGAGGAGGAAGTTACAGAGTCATTACTCATGATCTCATTCATAGCATGATCTTGTTTTGTTTTGTTTTGAAGAAAAAAACATCAACCCACCAAAATTGTTGTAGATACTTGAGCCAATTATTTAACCACTGAATGTCTGGGTTTTTTCGTCTGTGAAATGAGGATAACAATAATTCTCCCCATGGAAACCCTATGGAAACTCTACGGAGCATTACATGGGACGAAATGTATCAAGTCCTTAAAATCCTGCAAGCAGCTGCATAGTCTTGCTATTTGTGTAAAGTGGTTTGAGCAGACAGAGTTGTGGAAGGATGCACCCAGATGCTCATCTGGTTGCCTCGGAGGAAGGGAAAAGAAATTCAGAAGTGGTGTGAAGAGATGATTAACTTTTTGTGTATCTGTACGTTGTTTCACAGAGAAGGCTAGCTGTTGTTACTTTAGTAACTTTTTTATGTTCTAATGTTTTATTGGTAGTTTGGAGACTAGCACCATAACCACAAACTTGAGGGGCGACTGGATGGCTCAGTCGGTTAAGTCTGCTTTCAGCTCAGGTCATAATCCCAGAGTCCTGGGATCGAGCTCCCCATGGGGCTCCCTGCTCAGCGAGGAGCCTGCTTCTCCCTCTCCCTCTGCCGGTCCCCCTGCTTGTGCTCGCTCTCTCTCTCAAATAAATAAATAAAATCTTAAACACACACAAACCACAAACTGAATTGGGAAGAGCACGAACCTAGAAACATACCATGATTCAAAGTTTTGTAATTTTTGAAGAGGTTAATTAGGAAAGTTTAAAGCGGGGGTGGGGGGAGTGGTGAGGGGGAGCAGGAGAGCCCTAAACCAGGCCGGCCTTGTGTATCCGCAGCATCTACTGCCGAGGCTGCTCCAAACCACTGTGCTGCTCGTGCGCGCTCCTGGATAGCGGCCACAGCGAGCTCAAGTGCGACATCAGCACCGAGATCCAGCAGCGGCAGGAAGAGCTGGACGTCATGGCGCAGGCGCTGCAGGAGCAGGACCGCGCCTTCGGGGCGGCGCAGGCGCGCATGCGCTCAGCCGTCAGCCAGCTGGGCCGCATGCGCGCAGACACCGAGGAGCTGATCCACACGCGCGTGCGCCAGCTGGTGGCGCACGTGCTGGCCCAGGAGCAAGTGCTGCTGGAGGGGGTGAACGCGCAGTACCAGCGCACCTATGAAGAGATCGCCGGCCAGCTGGGCCGCCTGGAAGCTGTGCTGCAGCGCATCCGCCTGGGAGGTTCGCTGGTACAGAGGATGAAGCGCTACGCCTCTGACCAGGAGGTGCTGGACCTGCACGGCTTCCTGCGTGAGGCGCTCAGCCGCCTGCGCCAGGAGGAGCCCCAGAACTTAAAGACCACCGTGCGCACCGACAGCTTCGACGAATTCAAAGTGCGCCTGCAGGAACTGGTCTCCTGCATCACTCAGGGGGCAGGTAAGCACCCGAGCCACGCTCGTGACCAACCCCTTTACCATTCGAGGGCTTGTGCTTTGCTGTTGCACAAGCAAGACGGGCAGAAAAAGGTCATTTACATGTGACAGGAAAGGAAACGGGTTTTCTTTGCTCACATTGTAGATTCTAGAGTGCAGGTTGTAAGGAGGAGAGTAGGCCCTGACGTGGGTCTGCAGCCTCCCAGAGGGGTCATGTTGTACTAATTTGCAAGACCCTTTGGATTAGCTGTGATCTTGTGACCCTTGGAGAAGTTGAGAAAATACAAAGCGGAGAACCAGACCCAGTATCATTTTAGCCTCAGAGGGTAACCACTCCAAGAAGTTCGCTTAAGCCCTGTGTCTAGCACCAGAGAAGTCAACTGAACCTGAGGTTAGAGCAGAAGGGGGCTGAGGAAACTCCCTGAGATGGTTGGATGGTTACCCAAAACCATACTCTGGCTCAGTGGAGGAGATACCTTGCCTCCAGCATGGCCTGTCATCTGGACCAGCTGCCCACCTTTGTAGGCCCTGCCTGGTATTGGGCACTTGGGAAGGAGAGAGCAGACTAGTTCCTGACCTCCAGAGTTGTCCAGTCCGACCGGGACACAGATGGGAGTACATCACATAGCTGGGGAACAAGATAGCGCTCGGCTCTGCGGTCCAAATGCAGGAGTCGTAGCAGCTCTGTGTGAGCTGGTGACGTCAGGGGGGGCTTTCAAGAGACACTGGGGGGAGGGGTGCCCAAAAGGGCCTCCGGGGTGAGGAAGCTTTAAAGCTCTTTGACAAGGGCGCCTGAGTGGCTCTTCGTGAAGCGTCTGCCTTCAGCTCAGGTCATGATCCCAGGGTCCTGGGATCGAGCCCCGCATTGGGCTCCCTGCTCCGCAGGAAGCCTGCTTCTCCCTCTCCCACTCCCCCTGTTCGTGTTCCCTTTCTCACTATTTTTCTCTCTGTCAAATAAAAAAAATTTTAAAAATCTAAAAATAAATAAAATAAAAGCTCTTTGACAAAACCTCTAGGCTAAAATCTGAGCTCGAGATAGATAAACTAGTGTGAGGTTGCCCTTACTGAGAAAGGGGTTTTTGGCAACAGAATCTGAAGGTATCTGGGCAAGGGCCAGTGATGGGGGCTCCTCACTCACTCCTGCCCTCGGAGCTGAGGGACTTGGGCTCGTAAAAGTATAATCCTGGAGTGGATATGGATTTGTGCCTTCTCCACCTAGGCAGTGAATATTACTCCGTATACAGGAAATGACCCCACAGAGTTTAAACAGCTTGTCTTCGGTATCGTAATTGGGCAGTGGCAGGGCAAGGAGCTCTTTTATTCTGAAGCATGAGAGATTTAGGTTAGATGTAATAGAAATCAGGCTGTGGGTCATAGGAGTATCATGAAGCTCTCACTGTATGCAGAGAAGTCAGCAAGCAACGACAGCCTTAGGATTAGTTGCACTTTGCCTTGGTGGTGGCCAGGAGATGGACAGAGGGTGCCCCTGGGGTTTGCACTCTCCTCTCTGGCTGGGTTCATGCTCACTGCAGTCAGGGTGCTCTCCTTCCAAATGACAGCTCCTCCATGGAGCTACCCCGGTGTTGTGAGAGACCCTGAAGCCTGAGTCTGGGAAAAGCAGCAGGGACATTTCCTCTGTCACTGTCCCATCCAGGATGCCTCTCACCAGCGATGTCCCTGACCTGCCTGTGACCTTTTCTTTGTTCTCCAGATGCAGCTGTACCCAGGCGAGCCAGCCCAGAGGCTACCAGCACTCCTAAGGATTGTTTTGACATTGACCCGGTGAGATGGGTTCAGGTGTGAAGGGGAGGCGGTAGGGTCCAGCAGGTCAGACAGGTTCCCCTGTGGCGGGAAGGAAACTGAGTCTCATTGTCCCTATGTCTGCAGACAGTAGAAGAGGGAGAGTGCCTGAGAGGGATAACAAGTGGCTGGACTGGAGCTTTTGGTGGGAGGGAGTAAAGGAAGGGCCGGCAAACTGGCTGGTTCTGGGCTCCTAAATGCACTTGATGGGTTCGGGAAGGGGTGGACAGGAGGTGAAGAAGGTGGTCACCGGTGGGTGGCCCTGGTAGATGACCTCTCCCTTACCCCGTACCCCATCCCAGACATGTGAGCCTTTTCCTGGAATCACCATAGAGGCCTTCCCCTCCTCTTCCCCCAAAAGCAGTTCTTGGAGAGGAGAATGGGGCCAGGAGTCAGACCTCAGTCCCAGCAGCTTGGGTTTCATGGGTGTGATTTCAGGACCAGCATAGATGCAAGAACCATAGTTTCTCAGGATTGGGAGGTGTCCATACGCCCTCCAATGATGGCATTCCCTCTGCAGCACTGTTGACCTGGGGCTGTCCACACACACACCTCCACGAACAGGAAGCTCACTCATTCTTGAGACAGCCACTCCTGGCTCTGGACTGCTCTGACTTAGATTGCTGGCCAGGGGGAAAATGCAGTGGCCCTGCTTTGGCTTGCCCTCTTGGGTGCTTGCATGCATGGTTCCTCTGCTTCGGGCTAAGCTTCCCGAGTTCCTCCTTGGACCAGGCGTCGTGGTCATCCAGGTTTGCATGTGCCTGCCTGTCAAGGATGTGGGCCCTGGACCCATCAACCCTCCAAGGAAAGCAGGTCTTCTGGTGGTAGCGGTCAGGCGGTGAGCCTTCCTAGCTTTGCCATATGTGGCCTTTGGGAGAGAAAGATTGCAGTAGACAGAGGCAATCTGGACAGGCTTCCTGGAGGAGGCAGGATTTAGGCTTGGAGAGTTTTAGAGCTAGGAGAGAGCATGGAGTCTAACCCCCTCTTTTGCACAGGCTGAAGTTAAGGCCCAAAGAGAGGGTGACTTAACTCAGAGCCATATGACACGGCAAGCTAGGGGTAGGACTAGAAGCCAACTCCTAACTGCTTTGGGTACTGCATTCCCATATATATAGCTTGACAAGTGAAAAAGAAAAAGTAAAACAAAAGTATTTTGTTTTTTGGATAAGTAACACAATCACATGGTCAGAAGTAAAAACAGAGAAAGTGATAAGTATGTCAACCATACTCTCAATTTTTAAAATGTCATTGATTTGTACACTTACAGTTTCTACATTTCACTGTATATAAATTGTACCTAAAAAAATTTTTTTCTGATCCCCAGACCATGATAATTTGTAGCTCAGTTGAGAACCACTGTTTTGAGGTGGGGAGGACACTGACCTACCATCTCTCCCTACCGCATTCCTCATTTAAACTCTCCCATTAGTCAGCATTGCAATGATTTCTTATACAGTGTAAAAAAGACTGTAATTGCGCATAGCCTGTGTTGTCACGTAATACCCTACATGTGGCACCTTGCTGCCCCAATCCTGCACACACATTATCTGGATTTAACAAAAGAAAGAAAGAAAGTGATACATAATGTCTCACTCCCACCTGCTCCCTATCTTTCCACCTCTTATGCCCACATACCTATCTTTATTTATTTCTTACATATCCTTCCAGAATTTCTTTGTCATTACGAGCAAATGATTACAGGTAATTGGTTTTTCCATTCTTTTTTTGTACAAAGGTAGCATAATACCATATATTCAGAGTATTGTGCCCAGGCTTTTTCACCCAAGGAGGTATTCTGGAATCCTCTGGAATTTTTACACTATCGGTAGGTAGGGAGCTTCCTGTTGCCTTTTTGCATCTGCACAGTGGCCTATTGAATGGATGTAGCATGCTTAATTTAGCCAATTCCCTGCCAATGCATATTTAGGTTGTTTTGGTATATTACAATGCAAGAATGAATAATGTCCCCATAGAAATCCTTTGAATAATTGTGTAAAGTGCTCCGGGATCCACGGAGCTTGGAGCTTGGAGCTCAGCTGTCTTCCAGGTGCCAGTCGCTGGTTAATTGACAGCATTTTGCTGGGTCTTGGTCTTTACATGACCCCTCACCATCCTATCCGCTATTAAGCGGTTTGAACTTGGAGCATCAGAAGAATGTTCTTTTTTGCAAAGCCTCTTGCTTTCACTTTGGTAGTAGGCTGGAGGAGGGGACAGGTAGGCCAGTGGAGCTGGGGGAGGGGAATAGGTTTCACACTGTGAGCCCAGGGGACCAGTGGAGCAGCTCCAGCGAGGCTGGGAGGCAGGCATGGTTAGGCTGTCCCAGGAGAAAGCCAGGTCCATCAGCTATAGCTCTGCCCAGAGAAAGACCACTCTTGGGTCTTTGCCCCTGCCTTAGGAGGCAGGAGCTGGGCTCGCAGCACCAACACTTGATCCCTCTTGAAATGGTTGGTTTACTTTCATTGCAGTCACGTGCCCACGCAGAGGCGATAAGAGGAATAGCAGTAGGCTTGACTAGAACTGCCTAGCTTAGAGGCGTTTTCTTTTTGTTTCTTCTGAGCTCTTTTTGTAGTGACGTGAAAATACTTTAATGAAAAAAATAAAACATTTTAAAGTTATAAAACAACTGTTTTTTGTCTTTAGAGACCCCTCCTGTGTGTCCCCTGCTTCATTAACCTGGGAGTGAGGGTGTCATGGGTGGGACAGATGCAGAGAGAGGGACCCAAGCCCATCTGTGGGGAGTTCATAGCCCACGTGGAAAGAGGGTCTTTCACCTACCAGGGATTTGTAGATCCAGACACAAAAGGACATTTTCAGCTTGTTAAAAAAAATTTTCATGGTGATAAAATACACATAACGTAAAATTTACCTTGCAGTGGAATTGCTGGATCATATGGTAATTCTATTTTTAACGTTTTGAGAAGTCACTATGCAATTTCCCATAGTTGGCTACACCATTCTACGCTCCCCCCAACAGTGGGCTCCAATTTCTTTACATTCTCACCCACACCGTTTTCAATAATAGCCGTCCTAATGGGTGTGAGGTGGTTTCAATTTTTGACCACTACCCACTGTAAAGAAATAACTATTTTATATCCAGTTTACAGCATATCCACATGCACATGCGTAACTGTAGCTGAAATGGAAGTTTCGCAAGATAAATTACACTTGTTAAATGGGACATACTCTGATGCTTTCTGTTCTGTACTATTCTGCTTAATATTAAAAAATGCTAGTCATGACCCGCTGATTTGCTTTCATGATCCATCCGCTCATGGGTCACAGTCTACAGTTTGAAAACCAGCGGTCTAGAGCACTTAGCAGAGATTGTGTGCTTTCCTAGAGGCCCAGGAGATCATCTGTTTCTCCCCCCTTCCCCCAGATAACACTGCTCTGATCCAGAGAGACAACTCCCCTTCCTTTCTGTAAAGATGTTGAGAAAAAAAACCCAGCAGGGAAGTGGGGGGAAAGGAAGTCAGTCCATTATAGCAAATGATGTGGAATCCCACATCCCACATCAAAGTACTCTATACTAAGAAGAACCCAGCCCCAGGGGGCTCCTGTCTCAGCACCGGGGTCGGGGGTGGGGGCTCGTGGTCGTGCTGGGTTTCCCCTGCCTGCCCCCAGCCCGGGTTCCCTTGTGAGGGTGGGCCTGACCCCTCCTCTACCACATAGGAGCTTGTCCCTGTGAGAGAAGCATATCCCTGGCCTCCTAATCTCATGGCCCAGCGCCTGGTTTTACCAGTGCAGCTCTGCTCGGGGAAGCACCCCCTCCAGCCATGAGCGGTTCTCTTTCCTTCACTACACAGACCACTGCAGGCCCCTGCTCATGGTCGTCTACTGGGCACACACAGAGTTGGGAGGCAGCAACAGCAGGCCAGGGCCCCTGGAGCCGAGCCCCAGAGTCTGGGCCTCCTCTCTCCGAGGGACACCTCCCAGGTCACTTGTCACTTATTTTCAGCAAACTGTCCAGCAGATGCAGCACCGTAGAGAAAGGTAGTGTGGAGGGGTGTAAGGGTGACAGTGACTAAAGAAAAGGGAAATTGCATTTCAGAAACACTAGATTCAAACCCTGGTCCAGGACCTTGGGAAATCAAGTCACTTCACCTCTCGTGCCTCTGACCCTTCTCTATAGATTGGCAATAATCACAGGATGGTCCCTATTTCTTTATAATTTTTTTTATCGCGGTAAAATTCATATAGGAAAATTCCCCATTTGAACCATCTTAGAAGGTACAGTTCAGTGACATTTAGTACGCTCACAATCTTGTACAGCCACCCCATGCACCTAGTTCCAAAATATTCCCATTATCCCGAAAGGAGACGTTGTGGCTCCTCCCCGTCTCCCCTACCCCCACCCCAGCGTCCCGTCTGCTTTCTGTCCCTATGCAGTCAACTCTTGCAGATAGTTCATATAAACGGACCCATACAACTTGTCTTCTTTTGTGGCTGGCTTCTTTTCATTTCGCATAGCGTGCAAGGTTCATCCAAGCTGCACGTGCAGAACTTTGTTCCTTTCTATGGCTGAATAATGCTCCACTGAATGGCTGTCCCACATTTTGTTTATCCGCTCAGTGGTTGATAGACATCTGGGTTGTTTCCACCTTTGGGCTGCCATGAATATTCGTGTGCAGGTTTCCGTTTGAACATCTGTTTTCAGTCCTTCGGGCCTGTGCCTAGGAGTCTCATCGTTGGGTCAGATGGAAATTCTGTGTTTAACTTTCTGAGGAGCTGCCCCTACCTCCTTCCTTTCAGGATGGGTATAGGAAGCACTTTGCACTGTGCCCGGCACAGCGGAGTCATAAAAACAGTCTTTACCATCCGCGTCATCAGTGGTGCTTACTAAGTGTCAACTGCTCTTCCAAGCGCAGCAGAGTTCATCCGCCTATTCCCGTGAGACAGACGTTGCCTGTAGTCCCATTTTACAGAGCGGGACTGAGGCCTGAGGAGTTTTCAGTGATGGGTCCAAGGTGTGTAATTGCCATTCTGACCCAAGTGGAGTTAAAGCCCAGGGGCAGAGTGCAGGTTACAGGAAAGTTCCCTGGAAGGATCTCCTCACCATTCTAACTTTGCACCTCTAGGATACATCGGGAGCAAGCACTGTTCCTAGAGCTCTTGTTGAGCAAGGCTTGAGGCATGGTTGGTCCGTATGATCCCGGAAGTCCCCTTCTGGCCCTGTTAGGATGCACAGGAATTGAAGTGACCCTGGTTGCCAGCACCTCAGGGTCAGGAGGAGGTGAAGCCGTGGAGGGTGTGAGGAGGACTCCTGGTCCCCAGTGGGCCCTGGGGATTGGGCCAACCCCAGGCCTGGGTTCTTAGCCCTGGGCTTGCCACCTGCTCATTTCCGTCTCTCTTGTTTCTGGACTTCACAGCCAGAGGAGACGCAGAGGGCTCAGGCACAGGCCCCGGGGCTGGCTGAGACCCAAACTGTGACTTTGGTTCAGCCAGTGCCCGGGGTACACCCAGTGCCGGTTCATGCCTACTCCATCAAAGACTCCTCCTGCAGAGAGGTAAGGCTCTCCCCACCCCCCACCTCCGTCCCTGGAGGCCCAGATCCCACTAGGCAGGCAGAGTGGGGGTGGGGTGAGAATCCAGGCCTTAATCAGCACCTACTCTGTTCTCTCCCTCGCTCCTGGCTGCCCTGCCAGGAAGCTCCCCTGTAAGCACGAGCCACTCCAGGCAGGCAGAGGCCAGCAAAGGCAGTGGTCAGCAGACAGCCCGTGTGCGTGGTGGCTCAGGGGGCGTCCTCTGTGGAGAGAGACATGATCTGCATGGCAGGAGAGCAAATGGGGAGGGCCCCAGGCCCCTGCCACCCAGGTCTGCGTCTCTGCCCACCCCCCCAGCACCCCTGAAGGCTGCTAACCTGGCCCTGTGACTCCCCACTGTATAGGAGGTCTGCAACACAGTCCTGCCCCAGAAGAGGAAGTCCTGCCAGACTGAGTGCCCCAGGAAGGCCATCAAGATGGAGTCTGAGGAGGAGAGGGAGACACGGTTGGCCCGGAGCTCCCCCGAACAACCCAGGCCCAGCACCTCCAAGGCAGTCTCGCCACCCCACCTGGATGGGCCCTCCAGCCCTGAAAGCCCCATCTTGGGAGGCGAGGTCTTTCTGCCCAACAGCAACCACACAGCCGGCAACCCTGGGGAGGCAGGTAGGGAGGTGGGTGGGCAGCAGAGGCTGCAGCCTGCATGCTGTCCTCCAGGGGCTGGGTGGGACCCTTCTGCATCCTCACCCCTCCCAGGGAGCCCAATGCCAACAGCAGCCCCTGTGTGTCTCAAGCTCTCAGCTGCCCCCAAATGGGACAGGGAAAGTGCACGGTTTGCCTGGGGGGTGAGAATGGATACAGTTTACCAGGTGATTTGCTGGGATTCCAGTGTGAGGAGCATGAGGGGCTAAAGCCCATGGTTCCATAGCTCCTTCCCCCTTAGGGTACCCAGCACTGTGCCCCTGCCCAAGGTGGGTCTCCCCAGGGAGTGTGTGTTGGTGGGTACCTAGCATGTGCCTAGAGAGACTTTGGGGAAAGTCCACACCTGTCACTTCCCAAATTTGTCTGCAGAGGTCACCTGCATCAGGTACCTCACTTGTCCTACATACCTCTTTCGGACACTGCCAGACAGGGAGTCCTTGGACATGAGTTGCGGTCAACTAATAGAATTCTGGAATGATCGAGACAGTTCTTCCAAGATCTGCTTCACCCAGAGGCCCCCTCTGTTTTCATTCTAGGTCCCAGACTGAGCCCTGATCCTGCTTGCACACTGAGCCCTGACCGACATTCTTGCTCACAATGCTATTGGTAATCAAAAGATTTTGATTAACCAAGTAAAGTATCTTTTAATTCGAACACCTCAGCTCATGAGGCTGAGGATTGGAACAAACTAACGTGCTTCTTTAGGATCACAAAATGTTCCAAACCAGGGGCTGTTTGCCAAGCTGCCTGTACAGGGAGCAGATTCCGAATTCAGGGCTGCTAGCTGAGTTAAGTATTCACATACAGGGCGCAGTGGGCAGTGACGGAAAGCCCTTTTGAATAAATAAATAGATCCACACCGGCACACTCAGTGGATGTCCCCATCCCCCCACCCCTTGCAGGGCACACATGGCCCACCCCATCCACTCGCCCACAGGGATTCCCACAGAGCACACCTGGGCCTTATGCACTGGGCCACCCGGCAGGGCCTAATGCTGTCCCCTCTGCCCCGTTTCAGAGGAACGCGTCGTGGTGATCAGCAGCTCAGAAGACTCAGATGCTGAAAACTCGGTGAGTGGTCAAGAAGTTCGGCCCTGGCCTCCTGCCTCCCCCCATTCCAGGTCCCAGGGGACACAGCCACAGCAGGTGACTCTCAGACTTGCCCTGCGCCTGGGGAGTTTTCCAGCGAGGCAGTGAGTTGTGAGCTGTCCTGAGGACAGCCTCCAAATGCCACCTGCGGTCCTGGACCACCCCAGCCCTCCCTCCGTACCAGGGCAGGAGCCTTCAGTAATCATATGTGCTCTGAAATGCTGCTAGAGTGCTTCCTTCCAGAGCCCTGTCTCGTTTCTGGACTAGCTAATGCCTTTGTCTGGAGCTTCCTTACATGTTCTCTAACTCTAAGTCCTCAACGAGGAGGGTGGACAAGAGCCCGTACCCCGGTTACCCGCAGCCAGTGAGGGTCAGTGCAGGGCCGCAAGGGCGTGGGCAGCACCGTACGGGGCCCAAATAGGCGAGTTCTCACTCCCTAAGAAAGAACGTGAAAGCCGTCCCCCGATGGAACTTTGTGGGTTGCGACCCTCCCGTCCCTGGAGGTTGGTTAATGGAGGCTGGGGCAAAGGGGATCTGAACAGAGTGAAAGGTTGGACTGGGTGGCCCCTGAGGTCCCTTCCAGCCCTCAGTCTGAGGTTCTGTATTGGAAAGTGCATGGAGCCCACGGAGACGGCTGCACCACACTCCTCGCCAGCCTACCCCCTGCCAAGAGCACGAGGAGCTTACCGCCTCTACCGGGCCTCCCGTCTGCCCCCTGGCACATGCCGCCCCCCGGCTTGGGCTTCCCACCATCGCGCCGAGCAAGCTGCAGTCCCTGAGGCCGAGTCTCCCAGCCAGTCTGCCGGTCACCAGGAGGACGCTGCCATCTGCCGCCGCCGCGGGACCAGCTTCCTGCCACGGAGAGCACAAAGAACCGCCCATCTTCATCGCGTCTTCCGCTTGCCCCTCAAAGTGTATTGTAAACCCACGTGGACTTATCCTCCCCCCAAGGTCCAGGCCACCACCCCTGCCACCACGGGGCCTCCCGGCCATCCCGCCGATGCCCAGGGGGGTCCCTGCCACCTCCAGAGGGCCATAGGCCAACACCACCACCGCCGGGGTCGGGGAGCAGTGCGCTCCCTCGGCTGCTCCCTCCGGGGCTCCCCCAACGTAGCCCAGTGGCTCAACAACTTTTTTGCCCTTCCTTTCTCCTCTGTGGCTGCCCAGCTTGACACCTCTCTCAGCAGGGGGGATGGAGGGAGGCAGAGTACCCCAGACTCTTAGAGCAAGAATCTCCCCCAGGGATTCTGACACGGGTCTCGCTGGAGGTCTCTCCAATTGTGTTCCCACTCCTTTGCCCTCCAGAGAGCCTCCCCGACCAGCCCGGCCCCCCTCAGAGAGGCCTCTGAGAGCCCCGAGCATGTCCCTCCTTTATGGCTGCTGGCCACCATCCTCCTGGAACCGTGTGGCCACTCACTCGGCCCGTGCTCCACCCCGCTGCTGGGCCTGACCCGGCCCTTGCGCCCAAGGCCCTGCGCACCGTAGGCACTCAGTGCATTGTGGTCAGGGAGCAGACCCAGGAAGGAATGGCTACATGGACTCAGCAGGGGGACGTCAGCCCTCTTCCCGGAAAGGGCATGACAGATTCGGGCCACCGCTCCTCACAACATCCCTGGGCCTCTTTGCTCAAAACTAGGAAGCATCTGTCGCCCTTTACACCTCCCACTGCCCCATCCCAACACCCCAAGGCTTTCCACTAGGCCTCTGCCAGGACCTAAGCCCACGAGGGCAGGGACTGTGTCGATCCCAGGACCTGGCAGATATGGCTGCTCAATAAATATTTGTTGAAAGATTGCCCTTGCAAACCCTTCTTCCATGACCATCACATTCCCTGCTGGACTTAGCTCTTCTCTTGCAGGTGGCTTCGTGTCCCCCCTGCACTGAAACGGGGTTCTCTGGTGGGGTTACCACGTCCCTTCTTCTCCCACACCCTGTGGGAGGTGGGTCACGGCCTTCTGTGCCTCCTGGACTGTGTCAGTCCCACCATTTGGTAAGGTCCCCTGTGCCTTGAGGTTCCAGGTCTTGAGGGGAACCCCACTTTCCCCAGATCATTTCACACCTCCTCCTGCCTCCCCCCCACATAGGGAAGGCTCCAGCCCTTGCCTCCCAGGGGGCCTCTCCTGAGCCAGGGCCAGCCTTCTTTCTGGGTGATTTCAACACCCAGCACCCTGACCTCTCCGGGGTCTTCACCCCATTCCACAGCAGCCCCCAGCCCCACGGCCCCCTACCCTGCACCTCACCATACCGAGAACTGGCCCACAGGGACTCTGACCACAGCATCCTGCCCCTCAAGCTCTCAGGTACTTCAAAGAACCCTGCCCTCCCCACCCCGGTTCCTGTAGCCCTGGCTGCTACTCCTCATCCTCCTTCCTCTCAGGCCTCTGTTCTTTTCCATGTTGTTCTTCCAGCTGCAGCCCCTCTTCTCTTCCTAGTGTGTCCTTCCTGTGGCCTCAGCCATGCCCGTGGCTTCAGTTAGTGCTTGCAGGCTGCTGATGCCGGGCGCTCACTCCCGCGGCCAGACCGGGATAGATAGCCTGTGGCCCTCCAAAGTCCGTGCTCAGGTGCCCCGTAGATCCCTCAGACTCCTCTGCTGTCTGCTCGGTATGTCACCCCATCTGCCCGGCTACGCGAGCGGAGGCCCCCTCAATCGTTCCTCCGCGCCGGTCAGGTTTTCCGTCTTAACCTTTCCACAGTCTACATTCCTCTGAACCCTGGGCACTTCTTTCCATCCCAGAAAACTGCTAAAACGGAACTGACCCGGGGCAGAGGTAGAAGCCTGGGAAGGAGACTCTGAGAAAGGATGGCAACGCCACTGGTCTCGCCAGACTTGGTGAGAGTTGGGTGCAGGCGTCAAAACCAGCAGCCTTGGGGGGCAGGTGTCAGTCTGGCCCCAGCCGTCAGCAGGGAGGCGCGAGGTGATGTCTGAGGTTACTCAAGGAAGGTGGGAGAAGCTCATTTTAGGTGGTGAAGAGTTAAAACAATTAGAAGCAGCCACTCACCTTCAGAGACCACCGGCTCTGGGGTGGGGGAGAGCTGGAGGACCACTGCTTTTGTGTTGGAATTCTTCGGACAGCACGTTTTTTAAATTAAGCATTATGAGTCCCAAACTTTAAAAAACATATATTTACAAAGAAAACCAATGAGGACCCCTTCGTGCACTTCTCACCCACCTCCTGTGCCCCCTTCTGGACCCCTGGCGCTCCTAGAGTACCTGCAGCGACTTGGTTGGGGAGCAGGGCATCCTTGGCAAGGTGCCACAGGCTCCAGCATACCCCTGAATTCTGCCTCCGTGGCCTTCATCCCACCTGACACGTGTGAAAGTCGGCCTACAAAAAGAGCACATTTTCCAAGTGTACCGGGTTGCGTAGGGACCCCCATCCCCAGGCTGCAGCTGTGTCAGTTGCTGGAATCTAGCGAGACACGCCTAGGGGCTCTGGTGCAGGCCTGGCCAGGAGGCTCGAGGCTCACGAAGAGACTGCTTGCGCAGGAAGAGCGATCTCTGAGCTGGCAGAGGCGGTTGGAGGGGTCAGGCCAGGCCTGACGGTGGGCGACTAAACACGAGGCGGGTCAGCAGTGCCTCTGCTGCGAGCCCCATGTTAGGGTCCGAGGCAGAAAAAAACAGAATGCTCCCACCTACCCTTGGACGGGTGGCTGGCCCCAGTGTCCGGCAGAAGCAGGACCACGTGGAAGCAGGAGAGGGTGGTCCGTGGCCGAAGTGGCGTGGTGGCCAGCAGTAGAAGGGAGGCCTGTGGGGGGAACAGCCGATCCACGGGAGGGGCCGTGCCGCTCGTGTGTGGGTATCGGGAAAAGAAGCCGGTGCTCGTCTGAGAGGGTGGGAGCCATGATCCCCAAGGGGCAGCAGCCTGCAGAGGGGGCCGGAGCAGTGGGCGGAGGGCAGCAGGGGCTGCAGGCTAGCGGACAGGATGGCCCGGTTCACAGATACATGGGAGGTGTTTCGGGGCTTCCAGACTTTGCTAGAGCTGGGGTTTTGTGTCTGCAAAAAAAAGCAATGCGTGTGTCTTGCCAAACTGATCGCAGCTGTCGTTGAAGCTTGGGTGCTGAGAGGGTTCCTCAGGAACTTAGGGATTTTTGATAAGAATGAATGGTGGGTACTATGTAGACAACTTCAGGTGACCAGATGCTAAATATCAAAGAGTCTGGCTCCTGTCTGAGTGGCTGCTGACCAAGCGTGGAGTGAGTCAGTAGGACAGTAGTTCTCAACCTTGGCTGCACACTGGAATCTTTGGGGGGAGGTGGGGGGTTGTTTCCAATGACAGATTCCTGGGTCCCACCCCCAGAGATTGTAATTGAACTGGTCTGGGGTGCAACCCGAATATCTGGAGTTTTTGAGGCCGCTACTGCACGGCCAAAAAGGGGAGAACCACTGAATTGGGAGGTTCAGTTGCCTGTCTGTGATTCGAGTACGTATCAGCCTTCAACGGAGGTGACCGGTACATGCTGGGAAAGGATCCAGCAGAGGAGAGGGGGGACACTGGATCTTCCCAGAGAAACCTCCTAGACTTGTGGAAGGTGATTAAAATGTCAGCCTGGCTGCTTCCTGTGGGTGTGCTTGGTGCTACCGGGAGGCCTGCTGTGTGGATTCACAATGCAGTTGCCCTGCTAAGTTGATCTGTGCTGGAGACGAGTGAACTGTAGCTCACGAGCCGGGCCACATGTGTCTCTTAGTTCCATGTGTTTCCTGAAAACCTCGGGGGCTCCCCGGGGCTCAGTCTGACCACAGTTCTGCAGTCAAAGAAACAGTCCATTAACCAAGTACAATAAAGAAATAAAGCCTAGTATTTACTTGCATTTCAAAGAATATTAAAGGGGGTTTGACTCCCAACTCCCAGCAGCACATCTTCAGGTCCTCTTCAGCTCCCATCGTGCCCACTCCCTAGTGCCTTGGAACTTCCCACTTCTCGCTTTTCCAGGCCGTGCACTCGGACTCTCATCTTCACTCCGGTTCCCATTCCACCATTCTTTTTCCCTTCCCAGCAGATCTCAAGCCTTTTCCAACAAAAGGCCCTTTCCTGGCTTGGGTCCGGGTCTCTGCGCCTATCCCTCTACGCTCCCTGCCTACACACTCAGTTCCCCTGACTGTGGACGGAAGCCCAGCAGTGGTGCTCCAGTCGTGAGCGGGGAGGGGGCAGGAGGACATCCTGCCCCAGAGCCTCCTGCGCAAATTGCCCTTTTGTTAAACCTGGGTCTTTAGAAAAATCTTTCGTAAGCACGCCGGTATTTCCTGGCCGTGTTGCTGGGATTGAAGGCAGGGAGGGCGCTTAAGCGGATGGGCCGGCTGGAGTTCAGTGGAAGGTGTTCTGGCGAGATCATCCCCATGCGCTGGCTGCACTTGACAGGAGTCCCCAAGGGTGAGGAGGAACCTGAAAGGATGAAGAGTCCGGGCTGGAAGTTCCAGCCCTCCCGCCATTGACCAGCTCGGCAGAAGGGGGGATCCTTTCTTTAAGGGAGCTGGATGAAAGACATTGCACCACTTATAAAAGAGAAAATGACCCCAGGACAGTGGGAGGCCCTAAAAATGAGATTCTGATGGCCATCATAAATGACCCTGGTATGAAGACGGAGCCAGCCAAAAGACGCAGCTCTGCTGCTTTCCAGGGAGCTCAAATCTGGGAAGAGGCTATCCGAAGAGGTGACCAGGGCTCTAAGGCCTGAGAAGACATTCCAGAAGGAAGGAGACATGGAAGCACTCAGGGCCACTGCACAGGTTTTTGCAATTACGTCGGGAGCAAAAAGGAAGGAAGAAGAGAAGGCTCAGTGTGCCATGTCAGCGGGTGGCAGAGGACTCGGGAAAAGGGACAGCTCTTCAGCTCCGGAGAGGACACAGCAAGAGGAGTCCAGCTCTTTCCACCAGCCCAAGTGCAAGAGCAAGGTCTGGAAGGCTGAAGATAAAAAAACACCTGGATTTTTCCCTCGGGGGAGGGAGGTGGCATCTCTGGTCCACCAGCCAACAACTTGGAGGAGGACACCTGTAGAGGGCTCCTTACAGGGAGGAAAGGGAGCTGGGACCGCGAAACAGAAGACTCAGAGCAAGGCATGCAGAATAAACCTTTGAGGCGTGGCCAAGTCGAGGGTACGGATATGCCAGGCGCTTGACCAAGACTTTAATTAGGGCCTTATGTGTAGAATCCCCTCACTCCCAGGCTTCTGTAAGCAAGAAGAGTTCTAGGTGGATTCATAGTGAATGTCTTTTCCATCAGTGACTGGAAGGAAGTTGGTGAGCCTGGGGTAGGGCTATGAAAAGCAAAAAGAGTAAGAATCAGGCACTCCTAGGAAAATCCAGCACATTGTACCGTGCTTAGTAATGACTTTGCTCTTGGCTGAAGTTTTGTTAAAATGTTTCACCTGGAGAGTAAGAGGGCCTAAACCCGTGCTCGTTCCCTCCCGAGCCAGGGACATTAGCCAGAAGCCAGCATTTGTTCTTGCAGGCTTCAGGTAGGCCCGGGGGAGGCCAGCATCATCACCCTGCTAGAGGCAGTCCGGAAATATGAAGGACCCCAGGTCTGCTGTGGACTCTGTCCCAGCAGTACTCCCAGCCCTGTGACACGTGGCCCTGTGGCATCAGTCGTGTCCTTTCCTCCTGGTCTCTGGCTAACATCCGCAGGTGGCATCCCTGGGAAGCTCTAAGCAGGCCACCAAAGACACCTTCTGGGTGTGGCATGCTGAGCTGGGTGGATGCTGAGCAATTCACTTTAGGGAGAGGCTCTACCGCCCTCCAGCTGCAGCAGCCGTTTGGGAGACTCACAGAGTTGCAGCCCTTCCCCCACCCCTGAGGCCTTTCAAACTATTTTTGCCTGGGTGCTGGAGATAACAGGGCCTTGGGTGCCCAGGTTAGAGGATCCCTGGGCCTGAGGCTTCTCTGAGCAGCCGGCTTCTGGATGCTAAATGAAAAAGGGCCTCCAGGCCCTGAGACTTCTCTTTCCATGGCTCTCGTTTCTGGGTTCTGTGTGTCCACATTGACGTGGCATTCCTGAGGCTGAGTGGCCCTCCCCTCCCCCTCTGTGTAGGACACTGGGGCCCAGGCTGGCCATGGGGACAAGAGCCAGGCTCCTGGCCCCTTCCAGAGAAACTTCTGAGCTTTGGGATGAGCCTCCTTCCTCCTGCCCCAAGTCCAGGGTGTTTCTTCTGAGTCTGTTGAGAGAGAAGGGAGCAGCAGACCCCTCCAGCAACAGCCCCTTCCCTGAGCTTCCCTGCCCAGCACCATGCACACAGGTGCACACTCACTCACATATGCTCATGTTCCCACACAGTTGTCAACACCGGTTCACAAATTCACACCCAATGCACACATTTGACATCTGCATTCATTCCCATACTAGTGCTTTCACATACACACACACACACACACACGCCTGCATGATCTCAGCCTCTCCTCACTACCGTGTGGTTCACACGTGGCTCTCACGTACACACACATCCATTCATGTGCACACATCCTCATGCACACACTCAGACACACACCTTCCCCTTCCCAATACCCTGCTCTCCCTCATGTGCATGCAGATGCCCCCAAACATACCAGCTTGCTCATGTCCCCACACTCACGCCATGCACACACCCACACACACACACACACACGCTCACGGGCACATGCTCGCATTGCCACCATGCACCCTCGCCCTCCGGCCCCCTGACCTGTTGGTTTTTCTGTGTTGCAGTCCTCCCGAGAGCTGGATGACAGCAGCAGCGAGTCCAGTGACCTCCAGCTGGAGGGCCCCAGCTCCCTCAGGGTCCTGGACGAGAGCCTCGCCGACCCCCAAGCAGAAGACAGGCCCCTGGTTTTCTTTGACCTCAAGATTGACAGTGAAAGTGGGTTCTCCAGTGGCCACCCCCACCCCTTTCTAGCTTAGTCTCTGAGTCCCCGAAATAAGTGCAGGCAGAGCTATGTTCTGGGCCCGGGAGAGCGCAGAGCTCTGGCCAATGCCACAGCCAGGGAGCAGAGTGCTGCATCCCCCCGGGACTCCAGCTGTCCCACTTGGCTGATAGAATAAAGACTTCTGCCTCGACCAGCGCCTGAAAGCATGAGGCAGGTGCCTCCATGAGCTCATCTCTGGACCAGCGCTTCTCTTAGCCCTGGCGACACACCTCTAAACAGAAACAACACGATGTGGAAAGTCACCACGACGAGGCCAGCAATGCAAGCAAGGCCTTAAGCCCTGGTTGCAGCATTCTGAGTACAGAGCCCATTCTGCAGGTGGGCCGCACAGGGAGGCTGACGGCCAAGATCATGGAGAAAGATGACCCCTTCTCCCAGAAGCCCCTCAGCTCACCATGGTGCTTACCTGCAGTGCCCTTCACTGAACCCGGAGGGCCCGGCCTGCCCTGTGGCACAGCCCCAGCGCGGGGCCAGCCCAGCCAGGCAGAAGTGGTGCTGTGGGCCTAGGACAGGGAAGTCATTTGCAGACCTCACAGGGCAGCTCTGAGCCACGTTCTGAATGGAGTAGATTGGGCAGGTGGACTGTGTGTCCCAGGGCTCTGACCAGCCAGGAGTCTTGGCACAGTGACCGATGGGATTGGAGGCTGGGGCAGGGAGCAGAGGATGCAGGGGAGACAAAGAGGGCCCCCGAGTGCAGGTGGGTGAGGCTAACAGAAGGCAGGCAGGAGGGACCTGGCTCTAAACTGGCAAAGTCTCGGGCAGGTGGCAGGGTCAGGGAGGTGGGGCGGAGCTGGACTCCCAACAGGTGAGTGGGGGGTGTTTGGACAGCAGCCAGCCTTCGCCTTCTGCCCCCTGACCCCACGAGAGCCAGGGTAGAGCTACGTTCGGAGGCTGATGTGTGGTTCCTGCTGGCAGGCCCCAAGGTGGGGTCTCTGTGTGGTGGGACAGTAACCCCAGAGGTCCCGCTGCTCCCGCCCTGTGCCGCACCCCCATGCCCCTGGGGCCTCACCCTGCCCTTCTCTCCTGCCCAGCCCAGAAGATTAGCCAGCTGGCGGCCGTGAACCGGGAGAGTGAGTTCCGCGTGCTCATCCAGCCTGAAGCCTTCTTCAGCATGTATTCCAAGGCCGTCTCCCTGGAGGTGGGGCTGCAACACTTCCTTGGTTTTCTGGGCTCCATGCGCCGCCCCATCCTGGCCTGCTATAAGCTGTGGGGACCTGGCCTCCCCAACTTCTTCCGGGCCCTGGAAGATATGAACAGGCTGTGGGAGTTTCAGGAGGCCATCTCGGGCTTCCTGGCCACGCTGCCCCTCATCCGGGAGCGGGTGCCCGGGGCCAGCAGCTTCAAGCTCAAGAGCCTGGCCAAGACCTACCTGGCGAGAAACATGAGTGAACGCAGCGCCCTGGCCGCCGTGCTGGCCATGCGAGACCTGTGCCGGCTCCTCGAGGTCTCCCCAGGCCCCCCACTAGCTCAGCACGTCTACTCCTTCAGCAGCCTGCAGTGCTTCGCGTCCCTGCAGCCGCTGGTGCGGGCGGCCGTCCTGCCCCGCGCCCAGGCCCGCCTGCTGGCCTTCCACAACGTGAGCTTCGCTGAGCTGCTGGCCGCACACCGCCGTGACCCGCAGCAGGGCCTGCGGAAGTACAGCCGCTACCTGAGCCTGCCCCCCGCCTCGTCGCCCCCCACCCAGCGCGCTGGCCACCTGCAGGCTCTGAGCACCTACTTCAGAGGCCTGTCGGAGGAGCCCGTCTCCGCCCGGGCAGAAGGCATCGCCAACCCTGTCGCTGGCCACAGCTTGGCAGACAGGGTGTGCCCGCAGAGCTGAGAGGAAGCCCAGACTGGCTTGGAATCTCTGGGGATAGGGAGGGGGTCCCTGAGCCAGCACCCCCCCAACCCACTGCCCATCACTGCATTTCCAGGTCCTGGCCCCCAGCACCCCGTTGTCATATTTGGTCCAGAATCTGTTCTCTGGGACCAAATTCCCCTTCTCTAAAAACCCCACAGAGAAGGTTCCGAGTCCAAGCAAGTCCAAGTCCTAACTCCCCAGGGGCCACCAGATCCCCTTTCAGGCCTTGGGAGCACCCATGGGTTGGTTCCCTCGAGCCCTGGCCCCCTCTCCTCCAGGAGCCAAAACCACGGGGTAAAGAAGGCCTGGCCTCTGGGCTGAGTGGTCCCCAGTCACCCAACCTGCCACTTCCGTGAGTGTCCCTGCAGCCCCTCCCTAACCCCCAGCCACTGCCCTAGGGGACCTGCTGACAGCCCCCAGAGACCCTGCCCGCAACACCCCACGGGTACACAAAGTGCCTTTCAAACCAAGCCGCTGTCATGAGTTTGGGTTCTCCCACCACCTGCCTGTCTGAAGGCCAGCTCTCTGTTCACTGCTCTGGGGACAAAAATGCATTTTCATCCCCAAAGAGCCTCATATCTGCAGAGACAGAAGCTACTGCTTCATGTCTGTCCCTCCTTCCAAAGTCAGACCTTTCCGAGCTTGCTTCTTTCCCCTGGCCATACGGACACCTCCCCTTAGGCTTCGCTCTTCAGCCCTCAGGCCACCAGCCTCTCAGCATGGCTTTTGCTCTCTCTGCGCTGCTCACCTCAGCCCCACTGAGGAATGTCCTCTAATCCAGCGCTGCGTACCACATACACCAGGGGCCCGCAGCGTTGGCATCCGCCGGGAGCCTCTACCCCAGACCTCTGGAATCAGCATCTCTGAGGTGGGCCCAGCAAACTGGTTTAGCACGTCCTTCAGATGAATCTGATACCCGCTAAGACTCAGAACCAGTACTCTGATAGACTGCTCCCCGAAAGCGCAGCAGGGTGGAGTAGCAGAGCAAGTCCTGGGCCCGACTGGGCACATGGAGGGTGACCTAGGAAAAGACCCCTTCCTGAGCTCCGGCATCCCCACCCGCTAAATGGGCTCCCGTCCAGCTCTGCCATTCTGGGATTTTAGACATGGACCGAAGCCACCGAGGCAGTGGGCAGGGCAGTTTGCAACTTAAACCCTAGCTCTCAGCCCCAAGCTGAGGCCCCCAGCCTTGTGGTCACACCAGAGGTCAGCGGCAGAACAGAGGCAGGTCAGGGCCTTCCCTCTGACCAGCAGAACCACTGTCCCCACCCTGCTCCTCTTCCTTCCTTCTTCCTTGGCTCCTGCCACAGGGACACAGCCCAGGCCTCCAGCCTCCGTTGCCCGAGCTTTCACAGGGGTGAGGTCTGCGTGCCCACACCTCAGCCCCCATCCAGCAGGTGCCCTGCAGATGCACTGAGGGATTGCATAGGAACTGGCTACCACAGTGGGAGTGCTGTTCAACCAGTGAACTCTGATGCATTTAAAATAGGATTCAAGTTCAAATCGAGTGTTGACTCAGAAGCTCCTGTGGGAACAGGCTGATGGGGCCGCAGCCTAGCTGTGATAACTGTCTCGGCAACTGCAAGGCAGTACCTGGGCCACCGCTCGTAGCCTCGTTCTCAGCCTCACCTTGACCCAGGCGGCGCCCACTGGCTTCCAGCCCCACCGTGCTTGCTACCTGCAGAGTGCTTGACCACAGGTTTTAGAACAAAGGGCTGTTCTGCCCTCTCTCCATTTATGCAGCCTCTAATAAAGATGTGAATGTTCAAAGTCTGATGCACCGATCCAGCACTGCTCAGCCAGCCCCAGCAGCCACCGAGCAGCCTCTTGCCTGGGGAAGAGGATACGTTCCCAGACATGGAAGAGCTGCCCTTCATCACATCCTCTCGGGACTCAGCAAAGCTGAGAGCCCCTTGTTGTTCAGTGCTGAGGGCCTCACAGATGTGAGCTCCCCCATTCCAAAGGGGGAGACCTAGGGTGGGCCTGTCAGGGATCATCTCCCCAAAGGAGAGGCACATGGAGGGAAAGAAGTACCAGTTTCACAAATTACCCCCTAGAGGGCGTCTGGAGCCAGAGACGGGTGTCCGAACCTCATCTCTTTTCTCTGCTGGGTAATCTTGCACCCCTGTGTGTGTCCCCAGAGTCACAGGTGGCAAAACCCCCAACAATGGGGAGGGGAGCCCAGGACATTAGAAATGTGTAATTAACGTGCCGCTGTCCGGGGTTTCACCAGTGGAATCCACATTAGTATGTGCAGGGATTCCCACAGCACAGGCAGTGTGGGGGGACTGGCCTTCCCCAAGCCTGGGTGAGCAGCCCGGTGATGTCATTGGATCACTGCCACCACCCTTAACCCCACCTACCTGCCCCAGATGCCCAAGTTCCAGTCCTGGAGTTTTAGTCTCTAAGAGGAAGTCCAAATATGTCCCCTGTGCCTCATGTTTGAATCCTATCTCAGATTCACCCATGTCAGCTAACCATGAACTTGCTGGGCTTGAAGTCAGGACACTGAGTTTCTTTTTTCTTTTTTTTTTTTAAAAGACTTTATTTATTTATTTGACAGACAGACACAGCGAGAGAGGGAACACCAGCAGGGGGAGTGGGAGAGGAAGAAGCAGGCTTCCCACGGAGGAGGGAGCCCGATGCGGGGCTCGATCCCAGGACCCTGGGATCATGACCTGAGCCGAAGGCAGACGCTTAACGACTGAGCCACCCAGGCGCCCCTCAGGACACTGAGTTTCAATCCTCACCACAGCCTCTGACTGGTCTGGTGTGTCAAGCTCACTGATGCATGGGCTCTGGCTCTGTCAAATGGGATCATATCAATCATTTTTCCCTCACAGGCTCCTGCATGAACCAATGAGAGAATGTGGAAATAGGTTTTTAATATATGAAGAACCACACAAACATAAGATCTTATTTTACAGACAACCAAGATGACAGTTTTATTGCTTCATAAGTTACAAGAAATTAATAGATCTTAGCTCTTAGCAAAAAATATACATGAGCTTGGCTTCAGGGAATAAAAAACAAGAGCAGAGCAGACAATTGTGGGGGTCCAAGGCAGTCAGGGAGGAGAGCAGGGGAGTCGACCTTGGAGTGGCTGAGAAGTGGGTGGCTCTGTGTCCCCAACACACCCAAATGGGGGATTTCAGCCCCACGTACCTGAAGCAGGGAACAGCCTTTCAGTGACACAGCTCAGCCATGGCCAGCCCTACCTGCTCTGGTGCCTCCTTCTGAGGCCCAAGGGCTCACACCCCCAGGAACCCGGCCCCCTCCCCCAACCCTCCTCCTCCAGTCCCCACCTGCCCTACTTCATCCTTATTCCTACTCAGACTCGCTCTGACCCCTAGGGCCTACCCTGGCAATTCTCCCTCTCTCAGAGTTTACCCTGCACCCTACAGCTCCCAGCAGGCCCAGCCCCTCTTCCTGGATCCTCTGACCTCAGGCTTGTGTCCACCCCACAGCCCACGTGTCCCCAACCCCTGTGCCTACAGGGGTGGTGCTGGAGCTGCTCTCAGACTCAGCCGAGCTGGAGCGGCTCTCAGACTCAGCCAGCAGGGGGCGCTGCAGCCCCGCCTGGCCCTGCGATAAGGCGCAGCTCCAGTAGGTGGGGAGTGGAGGGGCGTGGGGCTTAGGCTCCCAAACCGCTCAGTCTTTTCGTAAGCGCCCGGCACCCTGCCGGTGGTATGGGAGGTAGCTTCAGGTAGATAGTGTGTGGAGAAGTTCAAAACGTCAACCGTGTTGTGTTTAACATCTATTAGAGAAAAATATAACCAGCATATCAAAACGGTGATTTCTGGAATATAGTTGCTCAGAATGATGCTAAAGTGGAATTACTTAAAGGTCTAATTTAAGGACAAATATTAGGTAAGCTCAGGAGGCGCACAGGTATAGCAAAATTTGTGACTTAATTTGGGGAAATCCTGGGTTACCTCCCCATGGAATTAGGATGAGGGTTACAGCTAAAGTCAGGGCCCAGGTTAGAATTGGGGTAAGGATGGGATGGGGTAGAAGTTGTGGTAAAGCCTCAGGTTAGGATTTGGGGCTATATAAAATTTAGGGGCACATTTGGTGATGGAGGTTAGCAATGGAGTTAAGAATCAAAAGGAACAGAATTAGAGTCACTCTTGAGGCTACAGATAGGTCACTTTAGCAGCTGCAGAGTCCATGAAACTGTGGGGGGGGGGTAGGAGCTTCTGAGAACCCCCTCATATGGCACCCTAAGTGTGGCCTGCCTCCCTCCCCAGCATCCTCTTCTAAAAGCACTCCACAGGGGTGCCTTGGTGGCTCAGTCAGTTAAGCGTCTGCCTTCAGCTCAGGTCATGATCCCAGAGTCTCAGGATCGAGCCCCGAGTCTGAGCCCCAAGTCTGAGCCCTACATTGGGCTCCCTGCTCAGCAGGGGAGTCGGCTTCTCCCTTTCTCTCTCTCTCTGCCCCTCCCCCTGCTCATGTTCTGTCTCTCAAATAAATAAATAAAATCTGTTTAAAAATTAAAGTAAAATGAAAGCATGTGCAGGCGTTCCACCTGAGCTCACTGAACCCTGGGTGGGGAGGCACAACCGTGGTTCAATCCGGGAGTAAGGGCCTCCAGCTCGAGCTGATGAATACTGCCCCCAGCGGACACAATTGGAAGGTAACTGTGTGCTTTCTCTGTTTCTCAATGCGCTTTCTCAGTGTTTTCTCATTTAGCACAGGTAATCTCCTGCAGTCTTGCCAGCACCCCTCTGCGGTTACGTCATCACTCTCTTTCTGCAGATGAACGCAGGGTGGGGGTGGGGAGCAGGAAGGTCGCGCACCTTGCTCAAGGTCATTAAACTTGTAGGTGGTAGGGTTGGGGTCTACCCAGCAGGGCGCCTGTGTCTAGACTGGAGCCATCTGTGGCCCACAGCTGCCAGGTGCACTGCCATGCCGATGAGGGGTGGGGGTTGGGGGAGGGGAGCGGGGGAGGGGAGCGGGGGCGGCTCTCTGCCCTCTCCTTCCCGCACCCTCCTGGTCTGTTGGTCTCACAAGAGGTGAAATTCAAGCTTTAGAAAGCTAACATCCCAACATTCTGGTTCCAGCACTTGAATTTCTACTAATTCTATTTTTTTTTCTTTTAGAGCAGTGCTTCTCCAAACTTTTTATTTTTATTACCCCCATAAGGAGCCTCTTTAGACATATTTTTACCTAGTCATGACCCCCCACTCCAGTGTAATTTCAATACTACAGATACCCTGTAGATTCCTTAGGATTCTCTACATACAAAATCGTGTCATCTGCAAATAGAGATCGTTTTACTTCTTCCTTACACACATGTACTATATATCTGTTTATGTGCTGGGGTCCTTTGGAGGGTCAGAAACCATCGAAATATCTAAGGTTGTTAGTGGGACCCCTTAAACCTATTTTCATCCTCTATGGTAGGTAATATTGTCTCTGCTGAGAATGTATGACCTAGGGTAAGGCCCCATCCCCAGTTACAATGCAAGTAAGAAGAGTCCTTGAGGGGTATTAACCCCTCCACATGGCTTAGTTCCTGGGTGGGAATGAGGTGGGAAGGGGCTGCAGGGAGCTGGTAGGGAACAGGAGCAGAAGTCTATAAGGACACACTTGCCTGGAGCCTTGGTCCTGGGCTGAGCCTGGTGGCTGAGGCTGGGGCTTGGGGAGAGATGGAGACAGGGCCATCATTTAATTTTGTATCCAAATCCAGGTGTCAGCTCCAGACCCTTCAGATTTGATTCAAGCAGATGACTGAAGTGACTCTTTTGAGAGAAGGGTCTAGAATTTCAGCTGAGACACCCCTTCTCAAACAAAACAAAACAAAACAGAAAGTTTGGAAGTCTCTACCCACCCTTACAAAATGCATTTGCTGACAAGTGGAGGGAAAATTCCTTCATTCTTGGCTCAAGGAACTTCCTTAAACTCAGCCCTGAGGAATTCTTTAAAGACCAGCTGCCTGGAATGTGCTAGAGTCAGTTTATAAATATAAATATCACAAACTTGATAGCCAAGCAGATTACAAAAGCTAGCTAGCTAACCTCAGAAATTTTCCACAAAGCTAGCCAGCCAAACAAGTGTGAGAGGACATAATGGTGAAATCCAGTGTCACCTGTCTGATTTGTCTGAAACTGTTGACCAGATTGAGTGCAGAGGGCCTGGGGATCGAATTTTCCTGGCAGACTCTCTCCTGGAGTTCAATAGCTATACAGGCCTGGCTGAAACCAGAGCCAACTGATTCTACAATCAGATGAACCAAGGAGGAGGCAGAGGGCAGGTGAGGCTGGGCCCGTGGTGGGGTCCTTGTTGAGTCTGCTTGCGAGTGGGGAAGGGTGCCGGGTGGTTAGGACACGGGCTTTGGAGAGACCGGATTCGTAATCCTATGTGTGACCTTGGACGAACTACTTAGCCTCTGTGGTCTCATATGCAAATTGGGGGTGGTAATACATACTTCAGAAATGACGAGGACCTAATGAGATAACACACAGAAAGCACTAAACTTTGTGAATTGGCAACGCTGGGTAAAAAATAAGTCTATACCTCCGGTACTCTAAAGAAGGCACTGTGCTGACCCCCAGAAAGCCCTATGGGCTTCTTCCCTTCATTGCCCTCTGCTCCTCCTCCCCTCCCCTCCCCTCCCCTCTCTTTTTCTCCTCCCTCTCCTCCTTTCTTTCCCCTCCATTGCCCTCCCCCTCCCTCCTCCTCCCCTCCTCCCTTCCCTCTCCCCTGTCCTCCCCATCCCCTCTCCTTTTTTTTTTTTTTAAGATTTTATTTATTTATTTGACAGAAAGAGCAAGCCAGAGCGAGCACACAAGCAGGGGAAGCAGCAGAGGCAGAGGCAGAAGCAGCCTTCCCACTGAGCAGGGAGCCCGATGCAGGGCTCCATCTCAGGACCCCGGGATCTTGACCCGAGCCAAAGGCAGACGCTTAACCGACTGAGCCACGCAGGCGCCCCAACCAATCCCCTCTCTTTCACTTCCCCCCTTTCTCTCCCTTTCTCCCTCTCCTGATTCCAGCCCATTTACGATCTGAGAGATCCTATCCCCAACTACTTCTCTCGGTACTTCTGTCCCCACCTCTCCAAGCCTCAACTGTCTCTTCTACCCCTACAACAGTGATGACAGTGAAGTCACCCTGCAGGCTGGAGGCTGGAGGGATTTACTGCCATCCCTTCCCTGCTCAGCCCCCACCTGGCTACCAGACACAGCCATCTGCAGGAAGGTCGCTTTTGCAGCACCAGCAGAGATGTGGGTTGGACGGAAGAGGTCCTGGAAGAAGCAAATAAATACATCAAGTTTCCAGCTGGGGCTGGAGATAAGGGCTCAGGGAGATGGGGCTGAGGCATTCACTGGCTCACACGCAGGGAAAACCTATTTGGAGCGCTTCAAAGAGGACGCTGCAGAGAACTAGGGGAGGGGGCTGTCCCTCCTGGGAGGTCGCTGCGCTGGAGGGATGCTTCCTCCTTTTAGGTTTGGTAGGGACAGGCCTGAGAGCAAGAATGTGACTGATCTAAGCTCCTGTCCCAGCTGAGACAGGCAGGTGGAGAGGGATGTCTAGCACCATGGCACAGGAAGGGAAACTGAGGCAAAGAAGGGCAAGAGACTTTCCGAAAGTCAGTGGAAAAGCAGGGTCAGCCCCCTACTCCCTGGCCTCGTGCTCTGGACCCCCTTATACTGAATTGCACCTGGCTGTCCCCAAGACATGGCCATTAGAATTGGTCTCATCTGGGTGCAGAAGTGGATGTGCCAAGAGCCACCGGAGGGAGGGCTGTCCTTCCTCCAAATCTTTGCCCCAGCCAGCTGCCTGGCAGGAGGTGTTCTCTCTCTCTGGGACATGCTGTTAGTAATTGGGACATGCTCCAGTCGAGGGCACAGACTCAGTCTTTCCCAGACATGGTAGGCCTCTGCTTCTGGTGCCCAAGAGCACTGGAGCGGGGTACAGGAGACCTGAGGGGGGAGGCACATTTCCCACCCAGAAACAGCCATCAGAGAGGCCACCTCTGCTTGAGAGTCTCAAGGGCCTCTTAACCAGTGCTGGCCACCAAGCTCGGCCTGTCCTTGACCAGATTACCCTGGGAGAGCATCTCAGAGAAACCGCATGCTGCTGGGATCCCCCTCATGGCCTGTCTTCCTTCCAATAAAGTGAAGGGGTAGGGATAAGGGGACCTGCACCCAGGCCCCAAGCTCTGGTGCCCTGTGACGCTGGACAGCTCCCTGTCTGTCCTCCCTCTGAGGCAGGTGCAGGCCCACAGACCCAGTCTTGGCCCCAGGTGACCCGCTGGAGCAGATGGAGCCTGTCCTGGGATGCCAGAAGCCCCAAGGTTCACACATCTGAGGAGACCTGAACATGCTGGGTGGGGGAGGGCAGAGACAGACAGCATCCGCCTGGTTCACAGCTGCCCCCATGCCAAGCATAGCACCTGGCAACATGGGGGAGGCTTGATTCTGGTTTGTGGAATGAAGGACATAGCAGACCCATTTCTGCATGCCCATCCCTTGGCTTCCGTGGGCTTGGCTTCTGACAGCTCACATCTGTGGCTTTCTTCCTAGGCCTGCCCTTCGGCTACTGGAGCTGACTGCCCACCGGCACAGAGAGGGGCAAGTGCCTGGTGTTTCCAACCCCGGGGGCAGC